GGAGGCTGGCGTCCATTCCGGGCTCCGCTGCTGCTGGTCAGGGCACGGCCGGGAGCGGGGAGGGGGGGGGGGGGAGGCGAGCTTCGGCAGCGATATGGTGCAGGGAGCTGCCTGCAGAACACGGCCTGGAAGATTCGTAAACGGTGTTTACGCAAACGTTCAGCGGTGTTTTTCACGTTGAGGCGAGGTGAGGTCTCTTTCTGCAGGAACAGAGTCTTTGAACTAACCGCTCACATAAAAATAATCTACTGTAAGGTATCTCTTAGCCAAGTCATCCGTACTATGGACACCATTCGAGCTGTAAACAAGCAGTTATCCGGCCGTCATGTCTCCTCTGGCGCACTCGGATTCATAGAGACACTTGGGTACTCTGGTGGAGGTGGCCGACCAGCTCAGTTCGGAATGTCCCAGCTCTCCCTCCATGCACCCCCGTCCGCGAACGGCGGCAGCGTTGGAACAAAACCGATGGAGACGGGTGTGGAGCGAGCTACCGGAGCTTAGCCACCGCTCCGGGTGGGGAAGTTTGGCCGTCTGACGCACCTGAGCGAAAGCGGTCCGGTGAGGGCGTGAAGGAGGCATTCCGGCGCCTGAGCCGCTTTCGCGTGGCCGACTCGGATGAAGGCTGTAGTTTGCCGCTCTGTGGTTCATATCGCGTGCGTCGCGTGTCGGCCACGTGCGGCGGCCTGTCCCGCGGACCTCGTGCGGGATCCACGGCAACATGTTCGCTCCCTAGTGATGTCGGTTGTGGGTGGGACGTGCCGCGCATCACCGGATAAATATCGACTGCGGCTGGGTTGGCGCGGCTCAGCAGTCTCGGCTGGCGGCCACCAGAGGCGCGGGCAGCGGCTGGTCATGCTGAGGGGCAGTGGCGGCGTTTTTGTTGTCGTTTGACTTGCCCATCTCGGAGTGCCGTCAGTTCGGTTTCGTGTATGCATGCCATTCAGAAGATTGTAACACTTTCGGGAATGCGACTGCAGCGATATGTGATTTGGTGGCCGAGAATGCATCATTTTGTGTAATGTCGAAAGTCTTGTCTCTTGTTTTTCCGCCGTAAAATTTGTGAAGTGGGTCAACAGCTTCTTATACGCGTTCTGGCGGAGGTTGTAAGCAAACAGACGTCAACTCCGTCCAACAACGTGACTTACTACGTGGTTATGGTGCCCAACGACGGAGCACGTTAAAGGGAATATTCCACATTTGAATGATTCAAATCAAGCATCAGATGCGTTGAAATAAGCTCGCGTATAGCTATTTGTATACTTTTTAGTGAAAAGGGCTGCTCTACACGGAACAATTTGTTTTTTAGTAAATATACTCCCCAATACGCTATCGTTTAATTTACGTCACCGCACAACGCACAACATTGATTTTGACCGGGAGCTAATTAATGGCCATTATATCTAGAAATCGTGGTCACAAACGCCAGATATGAACGACTTGGCAATTATATTCTCTTGGCCTCGCTCACCGCATGGCTGATGGAATGGCAAGCTTCGAACGCCGTTATTTGCCTGGGTGGCCCTGAAAAAGTCTCGACGGTTCCTTCTGATGACGCTGACGGTGACGACGGCGGCTCACATGGCCTCCGCCGGCCACCTTCCCGAGGGCGGAATCCGTGTGTCCTCTCCCAGGGCGGCTGCTGGTGATCTGTCCGAGGGCCGTCGGAGCCTGGGGCCAAACCGGACGTGGGCCTGATCGGACGTGGGCTGACCCGGACGTGAGTCTGAATCGGACGTGGGCTGACCCAGACGTGTGTCTGAACCGAACGTGGGCCGACCCCGACGTGGGTCTGAATCGGGCATGGCCTGACCCTGACGTGGGTCTGAACCGGACGTGGGCTGACCCGGACGTGGGTCTGAATCGGACGTGGGTTGACCCGGACGTGGGCCTGAATCTGACGTCGGCCGGACCCGGACGTGGGCCGGACGCGGTGATTAACAGACCCGGACACGGGGCGCTGGGCGGCACCGCGGCTTTTGATGAAGGCCGAGTCGCCATGTGCTGGGATCAATCGACCGGCGCCGGCTCAGCTTGGTCGACGTGTCCGGCTGGCTGAGGAGGCTGGCCGACTCCGCGGCCGCCCCTCCCTGCACCGCTCCAGTCTGGAGCCGGCCGTCGACTCACCTCCGTCGTGTGCCGGCACAGGCTTACCCGTCGCACGCAAACGAGCTCAGGATCGGCCACGCTCGTGTTCTTGCTTTCGCCGCGTATGTGCTGTGGCGTGCTACCGCTGCATGTCCCCCGTAGTCTGCTGCTGCCCGTCTCGGTGAACTGTCTAAAGTCACGTCCTCGTGATGACCCACGCGATAGATGTGCCACACGCATACATGTGTTTTCCGTGAGCGGCGGAGTTGTGCACTTCCCGGCTGGGTATCGGCCGATGCCGCTGCTTTGGAGAGATGCAGCCGCTCTAGCGGCTTGCCCTCCTCTGAGCTGCGTCCTACCATCGTGGCGGCGTGAACCTGCGATGCCTGGACCGTCGCTCGTCGTCCGCGAGCCGTCATCACGCCGCGCGCCCCGGCCGCCGCCTCCGCTCAGCGCCGGCTCCGCCGCGGTCTACGCGGCCCGGCCTGCCCGGCGGCTACAGTGCAACAGCGCTGCTGACGGTGCGGCCGGGGCCGTACTGCTGGCGCCGGCAAGCCCGCGTGTTTGGGCCCGCGCGCCGGGGACGACCGGCGCCCCACCGCCCCGAAGCCAGAGCCGACCGTACCCTCTCCAGACCGAGCGCGCTGAGCGCTCACATTCACCGAGGTCGTGTATCATGTGCTGCACAGCGCTGCCGCTGCGATTCTATTACCGTCTGTTTGCATTCCGGCCTGGTTCGGCGGTCGCGTGGCGGCGGCGCGCAAGCGCGTGCCGCGCGGGCGCCGGCCGGGACCCGGCCGCGGCGCCGCCGGGGTCGCCGTCCGTCACGGCGGCGGGCGTGGCGCTCCCACGTGGTGTTACGGCCACACGTGGTGTGATTCAGGCGGGCGGGGGCCGGGCGTGGCGGCGCGCATGCCGGTCGGGCGGGGGGCGCCGCCGCCGCTGCCGCGCCGGCGCATCCGGCGAGGAGGAGTCGCGACGGACCGGCGCCGGGTCCGGGCGTGGCGGCACCGTGAGCCGGCGAGTGGCGGCGACCCCTCCCCCCCCCCCCCCTCCTCCCGCTGCAGCTCTTACCCCGCGGGAGTTCAGAAACTGGATGATCGAGGCTGCGTGGCGCCTGGTGGGTCGGTGGGCCGGGTCTGAGTGACACAATCTCGGCTGAGGAGGGGGGGGGGGGGGGGGGAGGTCAGAGCACAAATGATAGGAAGTAATGGGGCTCTAAGCGATAGTATAAACATCCTCTGTGTCAGGCTTACAAGCTGGGAGAAAATGTTAAAACCTCAAACCTCAGCGCCTTGTTTTCAGATTTCATTTCATTAGCTGTCCCTGACCTGAATTATGGAAGCGCCCTTGATCATGGTAGCCGGGTGCGCGAGGACTCGGCGTCCGTTTCCTGTTATCGCATTGCCACACTCGACTGACGCTGGGCTCCACCATGCCCTGTCTGCGTTCGCTGTGACCTCCCGCTTTTCCGTCTAGCCTCATTTGGATCATCCCCGTCTTCAGTGGTGTATGACTTCCAGCTCGGTGCTGGGTGAAGTTTTTCATGACCACGATGGGTGGTGGGTCGATGGGTGGAATTGATGGATTTGTGGAACATGATGCCACAGACAGTCATCAGAGCAGAGCGAACGTAAATTCTAACATCGGTTGCCTGACATCTTAGAGTTGCCTAGCATATCTCAGGAAGCACCCAAGTGCAGCCGCTACGGCCATTTTCACTATTTCCAACCTGGTTTCATGGCGAAGCGTTCGGAATATCTCAGAACCAGCGGCTCTCTGCGGAGCGAAAGGCCCTGAGAAGCCGCAGCTGAATGTGGCAGCTGCTCGGCGGACCCGTCGGCGCAGACTGCCAAAGCCAGGCGGCTGCCGGTGGCCGCACGCGCCCCGCCTCCCGACCCTGGCGTTGCGGCGTTCGAGATCGGTAATCAACGAGTCCCGATCTGCCGGGTGGGCGCCGGTTCTGGCGACAAAGCAGCGCCATTCCGACTGTTGACCGTGGCAGACCATGCCCTCGGCGACGACGGCTGGGCACCGTTACATCAAGGCCGGCATGCGCTCCCATCTGATGGTCGTGTGTCGCAAAGTGTTCAGTCAAGCGTGTTCGCACAAACACCACCGCCTTGTCTCGCACTGGCCTGATGTCGGGCCTCATGCGAGCGCGCGCTGTGCTCCGCGCCGTCGGCAGAAGGACGCCACCTGGCGGCGGCGCGCGAGCCCCTCGATATCGATCCGGGCCACTGCGCGCAAGGTCGGCTGTCGGGGCGTGCGGGCCGCGCGTGTCGGCGCCGTCTCGCGCGGCCCGACGCGGCGGCTGCGGCGCGCGGCACCGCCGGCACGGCGTGCGGCCCGAGCGCGCGGGCTCGCGGCACGAGCCGCTGGCGGCGGCCGTGCCGTGCGCGAGCTCGCCGCGGCACGCTCGCAGAGCGACGATCGAGATTCGAGAGGACAGGAGACGCACGGTCGCGGTGCCGCCTTGCTCCCCGCGGCCCGCGCTCGGGACCGGTGCGTGTGTGTCGACCGTGCAGACGGCGGCCGGACGCGTGCGTCACGCACCGAGCGACGACCCGGGCCGCTGTAATCGCGACCTGACCTCTGACCTTGACCGGTTTCTTATATCGACGCCCAGAGTGCCGGCCGCACCGCTGCCGAGACGGCGGGAACGCTCGCGTCCCGCCGCCGCCAGATGGTGGCGGCCGACTCGGCTCCCCGAGGGGCAAATGGCCGATCTCGTACGAACCGCGCCGAGCCGTACTCTCCGCCCGCCAGGGAGCCGAGCACGCACAGGTCACACATGGTCAACCGTCTGTGACCTGTGCGCGTGTTTGAGACGGGACAATACTGAGTGACCATACCGCGCCCACGGCCAGAAGCCAGCCGTTGCCAAGTCCCACTGACACCCTGCTGTGTTGCAGGCGGACGCGTCGCTGGAGCTGGACCAGCGCCAGTTTGACCAGGCCAGCCTCGACTACGTCTGCCTGCTCCAGGAGGTCCAGCAGCGCAAGAAGTTCGAGTTTGTCGAGACGGTGTGTGCTGGAGTCCGCGCGATCGCCGCACGGACCGGGCGACAGACGACCTCAGCATGCAACGTGTGCAGCCCCCCCCCCCCCCCCCGCCCCCTGGTCTCCCGTCCCCTGACAATGGTACCTAATGAACCGTGCGGTGCCGCTAGGGCTACCCCAATGGTAGCGCTGCAGGCGGTGTCATAAGATGTCTCGCTGCCGTTCACACCAGCTGACATGAGACACTGGTCTGTAGTCACACGCCAGTGGCGCTCGACTCCGCTCCTCCGTCCGTCCGTGTGCCCCGCCGAAGCACCGGTGCCCTCCACTGTGTCCGTCCGTCCGGCCGTGCGCCCCGCCGAAGCACCGGTGCCCTCCACTGTGTCTGCCCGCCCGGCCGTGCGCCTCGCTGAAGCGCGGGTGCCCTCCACTTTGTCTGCCCGTCCGGTCGTGCGTCCCACCCGTTGTGTGGGCGCGCTCCACCGTGCCTGCCCGTCCGGCCGTGCGCCTCGCCGAAACGCGGGTGCCCTCCACTGTGCCTGCCCGTCCGGTCGTGTGTCCCACCCGTTGTGTGGGCGCGCTCCGCTATGCCTGCCCGTCCGGTCGTGTGCCCCACCCGTTGTGTTGGCCCGCTCCAGCGGGCGGCAGCACGCTCCGTACGGCTCCGGCGGGCCGCCGCGTATCGGAGCGTCGCGCGCAGCCGCTGTCGGATGTACGGCCCGGCCCGCTCCGGCGACCCTCCTGACCGGCCACGCATCCCGACCGCTGTCTGGGGTCGGGCGTGTGCGCCGCTGTCTGGACACCAGTTGTATTCCCGTCGCGTTGCCTGCTCAGACAGCCTGCCCGGCCGCTGCTTCGTGCTGCTCGAGCCACAGACGTCTGGTCGGTATTTGCTCAGACTGCCTGGTCAGATATCGGTTAGACCCTGTAGACTGCGCTGTGCGAACGTTAACTGGCTCAGTCTCGTGGTCTCCTCAGACCAGACCAGATGAGATCTTCAGGCCAGGTCGACCCGACGACCCGCCGCAGACTGTTAGGTTTTGTTCTGCGCTGCCACAGGCATAGCGGAGCGTTCTGGCTTTTCACCGTTTCGCTATGACCCCGTTCCAGCTGCTGAGTTTCATGTACGGCTGGCTGACGTTCTACCACCAAGGACACGATGTGGCCAGGGACTCGCAGCGCTGCATGACGGATCTGCAGATTCGGCTTCAGAAGGTGAGCAGCCAGACCTCCGCCAGACTCGGCTTCTGCACGGACCGAATCCCATCTCACCCTAGACTCTGCGTCAGAAGGCGCGGGTACAGGCCGCCCTGTAGGCTTGGCTTTAAAAGGCGCGATAGTCCTGTGGGTTCGGCTCGAAAAGGTGCTCGTTTCGGCCCCCGGAGACGCGATGTCAGAAGGACCTGAACCCGATCTCCGCCTAGATTCGGTTTTGGAAGGTGCGGAGCTCAACCTGCCCTTAGATCCGGTTTGTGAAGGTACGGGAGCCGACCTCTGACGACATGGCGGCGCTAGTTGTGTACCGTTGGATCACCAGCTGGAGCTGCGGCGTCGTGTCTCTGGGCACTGCGATGGAATGGACGATGGGCACTGCGATGGAATAGACGGTGGATGCTGCGATGGAATGGACGGTGGATGCTGCGATGGAATGGGTGATGGGCGCTGCGATTGACGAAATGGGCGTACCCTCAAGATGACCGGGCGGTTGTTTTCGCACTGCAGCGAGTGTGCCGCCGTCCGATGACTGAGCTGGGTTGTGGATCCCGTCCTGACCCTTAGTGAAATGGGACAGGGTACGGTAACGCCGCCACCACCCCACACGACCAGGACTGAGTGTGATAGCCTCGGCCAGACCCCGCCGACGAGGGCGTGATCTGGCGACTCCGTCGTAGCCCCAGCTGACTAGGGCAGGGCACGGTAACACCGTCACGATCACAGCTGGCTGGGGTAGGGCTGCCTCGTCCAGACCCCCAAAACCCAAAACAGTCACTAGTGTGTGTGCTGTGCGGTGGCTTCATTTCCAAAGCGGTCGCTAACCAGTGTCCCCTCTGATCCGCTGCAGACCCGAGACGAGTTTATCGCCACTCGTAACGAGGTTGAATCGCTGAAGAATCGGACGCTGGAAGTGCGACACACGGTACGGCAGCCCGCCACCCGCGGGGTACCACCGACCCTCTGTGCCAGTGCAGTCAGCCCAGCTGAGTGCTGAGTCATCGCTTATCGGGGCTGCGATCGCTTGGTTTTGTGTCAGTGAAGGGGCCTTTGAATCACGCATAACTAGCTGGTTTTTTGGGGTATGCATGACTGGCGTGGCTCAGTTCCATGCCAATACTTATTAGAGCGCGTGTACGCTGTTTTTTTCGTACAGTCGGTGTTCCTGTATTTATGTGATTACAGCCCTCACTTTTGATGCGCTGCGGTTTTGTGCGCCGTTATTACCTTGCCCCAGATAAGGTGGTGACGCCGAACGTGTAGTGTCAGTCCTGCGTTTGTCGATTGGAAGTCATCCTCATGTCGTCGAGGGGGGTGGCGGTCCGACTCCATGGCCAAGCGACGGCATCTTCAGGCCCTGCTGTCTGTGTTCCAGAAGTCGCTAGATGTTGGGAGCATGGACAAGATGTACACTAGACAGGGGTACCTGTACCTCATGGAGAAAAGTAAGTACAATGCTTTAAAAGGTTGCCTCTCGTACCTGCGCCCATCCTCGCTTTGCATGGTGGATTTAGTCACGAGGTTGTCTGTCCGCAGGGTCTGATATTTGACCTTCGTTCTCCAGTCTGGTCAGACTTACCTGTATGAATGACCTCGTCGACGCATTGCCTGTCACCGGCAGTGAGGCTACGTATTTGTAGTTCATTTTTAACCCCGTCGTTCGGTTGCTAATGCCGCCAGATTTTAACGAAATTGGTTTTAAGTATGTGGTCACTCCAAGAATTGATCTGTTTTAGATGGGCGATGTCGTTTAAGTTAGATGTCAGTGGCCCCCGCCCACTTGTCGAATGGTCGATCCTTGCGCACCCCGAATGACGCCCAGGGTGTGAGCTGGCTGTTGGTCGCGGCCAAGAAAGAATTGTACTGCATGTGAATTGCGTCGCATTTTCTCGACCCTCCACGGGCTGAAGAAAGCCAAAGGCCATAAGGGCAAAAAACGCCCGAGAGTGACCCGAGAGTGGCTGTTAGTGGGAAGTTAACTGCCTCCGCTCATGTAAAACTAATGTGGCGGATCTTTGCTAAATCATCTTGTCATTACGGCTCATCAGCAGCTACCGAGCCAATCTGTTTCCATCGTTATCCGAATTGCGATGCCGTGTCCGTGGCGCGTGTGCCGCTGACCTTGACACTGACCCTCCCTCGACCTGGCAGAGGCGTTCGGCACCACGTGGACGAAACACTACTGCATGTACGACAAGAAGTACCGGCATTTCACGCTGATCCCGTACAACCAGATCACCGGAAAGCTGGTGAGTTTGCCGCCGTCGCGCCGGGTCGGTTAGGCCACGTCAGGCTCTGTGAAGACCGTGGACTCGGACAGGACAGCGGGTCCCGCAGTCGGTCAGGTCTGTGCTGTCCCTGTTACAGAGCTCCACGTGTCAGCCGGTCCTGCAGCCGGTCCTGCTGTATTAGACTTGACGTCTGCGGAGCATGGACATTGTTCTCATTGGGGGAAGAGCTGGAAGTGATGGCATCGACTGCATTGCACTGAGACGCCCCGTCAGCGTTGCTTTTCATCATCACCATAGTGAATTTGCGTAGGCATAGTGATTACACTCAGAGCATGACGAAACTTTCCATCATAGAGGCCTGCTACACACATGCTATACGTGTTATCCTTTTACGGACCCCGACGAACTTGATGACAGGCCAGTTGGTGGTCAGGTCCGTTTTTCTCGTATCACAGATCTCGACAGACCATGTGATGGTCAGGCCTGTGCTGTCTCTGTTACAGAGCTCGACGGACCAGATGATGGTCAGGTCTGCGCCGTCTCTGTTACAGAGCTCGGCGGACCAGATGATGGTCAGGTCTGTGCTGTCTCTGTTACAGAGCTCGACGTACCAGATGATGGTCAGGTCTGTGCTGTCTGTTACAGAGCTCGACGGACCAGACGATAGTCAGGTTTGTGCTGTCCCTGTTACAGAGCTCGACGGACCAGAACGATAGTCAGGTTGTGCGTCCCTGTACGAGCTCGACGGACCAGATGGTGGTCAGGTCTGTGCCGTCCCTGTTACAGAGCTCGACGGACCAGATGGTGGTCAGGTCTGTGCCGTCCCTGTTACAGAGCTCGACGGACCAGATGGTGGTTCAAGTCTGTCCTCTGTGGCCGCGACCATGTCAGGTCTGTGCCGTCCTTTACAGAGCTCGACGATCAGATGTGGTCAGTCGTGCCGTCCCTGTCAGACGATTCTCGCCGTTGTTCGAACGTGACGTGCCGTTACAGGAGCGCCGACGGACCAGGTGGTCAGTCTGTGCCGTCCTTTACAGCTCGACGATCAGGTCAGGTCTTGGCCGTCCGAGCTCGACGACCGGTGGCGGCTGTGCTCCCTGTTACGACTCGACTGACAATGGTGGTCAGTCATGCGTGCGCCGACGGAGACGACACGCCGCTTCTGCTCGACGTGACAGGAGCGACGGCCAGGTTTACACGCTGCAGGCACTTCCGACACGACCGCCACTCGGCTGGACCCATGCGCAGGAGCCGTGCTGCCGTCCCCGCCCCTCCTCGGGGCCGGGCCAGTGTGTATGTGTGCGTGCGTATTGTGTGTGTGCGGGGGGGGGGGGCGTGCGTCGGGCGGGCGGGCGGGCGGGCGGGCGGGCGGGCGACGGGCGCACTACACCGTGCTCACAAGTCCGGAACGGGAGTGCCAGCTACCCCACCTGCCAATGAACACTGACATTGCGGCGGATGTTTGCCGCTGCGTATTTCCTATTAGAATACACGTGCCTCATATTTGGACACAGCAAATGTGCACAGCGGACGCGGCAGGTCAGGCGATCGCGTCGGCTCTGTCGGGCCTGGCCGCGTTCACCGCCGGGGAGTGAGGCCGGCCGCCCAGCCGTCTAACGGAGCGCCGCGCCGCCGGCAGATGTACGCCCGGTACGGCGCAGAGCAGCGCGCCGACGAGACCAGCCTGGACGCGGCCGGCCTGTACTTCGTCACGCGCTGCCTCAGCCAGCTGGAGGAGCGCGGCCTGCTCGACCAGGGCCTGTACCGGGTGGTCGGCGTCAGCTCCAAGGTGCGCCTCTCAGAGGGACTTCTGCCGCCCCGCGCCGACGAGCGTCGCTGAGGCCGGCTGGGTGTCAGATGTGGGGAGGGTCCGTCCACGCGGCGTCACATCGCTGGGTGGAGTGAGGCCAGTGACCGGCTAGGGAACCCCGCGGGGGCGGCGGCGGCAGTGGCGTGTCCCTCTGACCGCCGCTGACCCGCGGCCCAGCTGACTCGGCGCCCCCTCCCCCTTGGCCCCCTCCGTCGGACGCATGTCGCCTGAGCGTCAGCGTGCCCGGCACCACCGGCAGGTGAACCGGCTGGTGCAGCTGGGGCTGAGCCTGTCCAAGTTCGAGCAGGTGTCGCTGCAGAGCCCGCAGGAGTGGGAGAACAAGACGATCACCAGCGCTGTCAAGACCTACTTCCGCAACCTGCCGGAGCCGCTCATGACCTTCAAACTGCACTCGGAGTTCATGAACGCCGCCAGTGAGTGACCGCGCCAGCGATACGGTGCGCATGCGCACATCGTGCTGCCGATCCGCAGAAGGTGATGCGCTGTCATGCGCAGCCATAGTAATGTTATTACGCGTTGGACGGAAAAGCGAGCCCGCGTAACAAGGCCCAGTCATTTGAGAGGGCCGTGTCCAAAATCATGTTGTGTGACTGCGGTGTAGTGATGTCCAGTATCATGTGTGGCGACAGTGTGCGTTGTCTGGGCGAAGCACTTGTGGAAGCCTATTATCTGATCGTCCCGACTTGCAGAAACGGATAAGAAGGACGCCCGCGTGGCGAAGGTGCACAGCGTGGTCAACAAGCTACCGAAGTTGAACTTCCAGCTGCTCAAGATCCTCATAAAGCACCTGCAAAAGTAAGTCCCTGGTGTTTTATGGTGGCGGAGTGCCGGGACACAATATCCTGTCATGTCTTGCATGGCCTCCGATGCGCCAGCTGCGTGTGTCTGTGGGTGTTTCACGCGTCCGCCCGTGCGTTGTCACCGGCCCGACTGACGCCACCCCCTCTGTCCGCTCTGTCGCGCGCGCAGCGTGAGCAACAAGAGCGACCGCAATCTGATGTCGATCAGCAACCTGGCCGTCTGCTTCGGACCGACGCTGCTGCGGCCCGAGGAGGACACCATGGCCGCCATCATCGACATCAAGTTCTGCAACACCGTGGTCGAGACGCTCGTGCTGAACTATGACCTGGTGAGCACGGCGCAGAGCTTGCACTACCGGGCGGCCGCGGCGGGAGCCTGCCTCGGCTGGGAGGCGGGCGGCGCCTGTGTGCGGGGTGCCGGCTGCCGCTGTCGGACAGCAGCGGCCCGCTGTCGGACTGCGGCGGCCCGCTGTCGAACTGCGGCGATTCTTTGCATGCATTGGGTACTGGATTGGTCTCGAACTGACTTGGGTGGTTGTTGCCCAGCGCTTTGCTCGCAGCCGGCCACCGAAGGTGCTGACATTGCCTGGCTATCAATTCTGCGCCACTGCTGCCAACGGTTTTTGGAGCATGAGTAGCTCGTGAGGAATTCCCGTAATAATGTGCAGTAAAATATGTCTGCCTGCCCTGTTCTACGCCAGTTACCGCCGAGCCGGTCTCGTTGTCTGCTGGTGTGTGATGATAGGTGTTACGTCTACACCTCGGGCTGCCGGGTGCTCCGGCGCTGTCGTGCTGTCAGCCTCCTCTTGACGACCGGCCGTTTCAGATATTCGGCGGCGGCGCGCCTGGAGAGGCGCCAGAGCCGGAGCCGAACGGCCGGCCGGCGGCCAACGGTCCTTCCCCGGACCCCGAGCCGGACCCGGCACCGGCGCCCAGCTGCCAGCCGCCGGCCAAACCTCAGCTCTCGGCCTCCGCCAAGGTCGGTGCCCAGTGTGCCGAGGTGACGACACAGTACACTCCGACGGCTGCTGTCGCAGCTCGCCCGACATAGGACATGTACGCCCGACATAAGACATGTTTTCCATACAGGCAGGCTTATGGGCGCAAAATGACCCCAGAAGTCGGCGCGCCCTAAAACCCAATTCATCATCACAGGCAGGCTTGCGGCGTTCGGCAGAGGACTGTTCTTCGAGAACGTTTTGTGATTCATCGAATGTTTTGCAGGGATGGCTTTGGGGCCAGATCTAGGGTAGGCTAGGCTTGTTGCGAAAACTTCGATCTCACCACCACAGAGGTTCTAGTCCAACGGAGATGTTTGTTCGGAAGATTATAGCATGTATGCAATATCACGGCACTGTCGGTGTTGAATAACCGTACTGTGATCGGGTTCCTTAACCGCTGTTTTGGTAGGGTGTCCTGTCCTAGAGTCGCGGGTCTGCATGTGTCGCGACTGGTCGGTATCACGGACTCGTGACTCTGGGCTCGCCGGTGCTGATCGCCGCCCCCCTGCCGGCAGCTGCAGCGTCGCTCGCTCTCGCCGGATCTGGGTCCGGCGGCCCGCTCCGTGCGGCTGGGGTCGGCGCGGCTCCGTGCGACCACCGCGCCGGCGCCGCTGGCGGCCGCCGAGCCGGGCAGCACGCGACCGCGGCCCAACCACGTCTCCAGCACGCTCGGTAGGTGGCTGGCGGTGCCTCGCTGCGTTGGACGCTCCCTCTGAGCGGAGACCGCGCGTCCCCGCCGCTTCTGTCGGGGACAAGTGGGTGCCCGGGGCTGGGCCGTTCCGAGGGCTGGGCTGTTCCGGGGATTGGGCGGTGTGTGGGTGCACGAGCTCGGTGTCAGTGCGCCGACGCTGGCGGCGGCGCCGTCTGACCGCTGCCTCGCCTGCGGCAGTGACGAGCGACCGGGACCCGTCGGAGGGCGGCAGCCCCGTCACAAACAGCATGAGCAGCAGCAACGAGTCGCTGTCGTCGCGGTCGTCGCGGGACGGCTCGCGGCCGCAGCCGCCCGGCTCGGCCACCTCGTCGCCATACGCCCGTGAGTGTCGCCCCCTCCGCCTCCTCCTCGCAGCGGGTGACGCGGGTCAAGTGCGCGCCGCTCGGATGTTGGCAGCGCGTGTGTGCTGGTTGCTCGTCCGCTGAAGTGCCCCGAGACGCGCCTGGCGAGGGCGCACGCGCGCGTCGGTGTGTGTGGCTGGTGGCGCGAGTCGTGACGGGACTGACGACTGTCGCTCGCCGCAGGAGGGAAGCTGAGGGTCCGCTGTCCGCCCAGCTACCGGTCTCAGCCTGACCTGTGAGTTCCGAGTGCCACCGGAAGGGGCGCTGGCGGCGCCGGCCTGCCTGATAGCCTGCTAGTGCGTCATGCTCGGCGGACCTGGTGTCAGCTGTTCCGGTGGATAGTGCTCAGGGGTGATGATTATACATGACAACTGATTGAACGGACGGATAAGTCTAGAATGTGCTGTGGCCCACGCATTTTGTTGTGCCGCGTGGTTGTGTCACGATCCCGGGTGGGCGCGGGTTCATTGGACCGCACGTAGCCAAGGTCTTGTTTGGCAAGGAACGACGGTGAATCCGCTCGTTGTAATTTGCTGGCAGGTGAGCTCGCCCAGCACGGCGGCATGACTCGACGCTGTACCGTTGTCCTCGGTCGTAGCCGGGGCCGGAGTTGGCCGTCCTCGGACGTAGCCGGGGCCGGAGTTGGCCGTCCTCGGTCGTAGCCGGGGCCGGAGTTGGTCGTCCTCGGTCGTAGCCAGGGCTGGAGTTGGCCGTCCTCGGTCGTGGCCGGGGCTGGAGATGGTCGGAGACGTGTTTTGACAGTGTGTCGTGCTGCGCGCAGGTCCGTGTCAGTGCCGGTCAGCTCGGGCCCGCCGCCCGGCCCGTCCCCGGCCGCCGGTCACGACCGCCTCAGGTAATCGGCCGCCCCGACTGGGACACCGCTCACGCAGTCAGGTCGGGAGTCGCGCCCGACATCGGTCCCAAAGCGGCGCCGCGCCCCGCCCAACACGCCTCCCACCACCCCGTTCTCGTCCGCCATGTGGCCACCTGATGGTGTGGGGCGTCAGATTAAACTGGCCATCGTTTAAGCACATGTGGTTGTTGGAGTCTCGTCGGAAGAGGGCTAGAGGCCCAATGCTCCGCCATCCCTCCTCCAACTGTACACACTTCAAGCTTGTTCAACCCCACAACCATAGTGAAACTGTGTGTTTTGCTTACATTGCCAGACAACACAGATTTGTCTCGCACATGTGCATTGCGCGCCCCTTGGTATGTTCGCACGTGAAATTCTTGCTAACTTTGAACTATGGATGCTAAACGTCGTCCAAGTGATGAGAAGACGGGACACAAAGATGTTCCGACTTTGTCTAATTCTTGATTGGATTAAAAGCGCTTCTTCCACGCCTAATTTTGCACATTCCACTATTAGATTCACGAACGGCTTGGTCGTAATGGTTTGTGCATCACGTAGTGTTCCTCAGTAGGTGTGCTGATGTGTGCCGTCCGCGTGCCGACTGCCCTTTAACCGGCCGTAATCTCGTCTTGCAGGCGGGTGCGAACACTGTATGCCTGCGTGGGAGAGAACGAGTCCGAGTTGTCTTTTGAGCCGAACCAAATCATAACAAATGGTAAGCCGTCGGGCGGTTTGTCGGCGCGGGCATGGATAGCGCTAGTCAGGCCGGTACTCATCCTTGTCCATGAGCCGCTTTGACAAAGACGGAGCCACAAGCCACAGACCAGCGTTAGCCTCTGCTCAGCCGCGGCCGCGGCGTGACTGGTTTTCTCGTGAGTGCGATGCTCGCGCCTGTCGCGTGGCGCTGGTTGTTGGGTGACGACGGTGCCGTTCCCCTGTTGCAGTCCGTCCGTCACGGGAGCCCGGCTGGCTGGAGGGTACGCTGAACGGCCTGCCCGGCCTGGTGCCCGACAACTACGTCGAGTTTTTGCCGTGAAGGTGCAGCGCCCGAACCTGTAGTTGCGCGGCGGTGCGTCGGCCGCGCCGGGCGCCGAGCGTCTGGTGGCGCGCTGCGGCCCGCCCATCCCGCCGAGGGCGGCTAGTGTGAGCCGAGCTCGAGCACAGGGACAAGCAGCGGCTCCCGGCGCCCCCGTCGCCGACAGCGGCTGGGAGGCTGGCGCGTGAAACGACCGAGGCGCGAGAGCTAGCTGCGCGACCTCGAAACATTCCGTGTCGGTCACCACGGCACCTCGGGACATTCCATCCGGCCACGGTGTGACTCCGAGCCATTCCATCCGGTCACGTGGGACCTGCCGACATTCGGCCGCACGCGTTACGCCATGACGCGTGCCGCGAGTTTAGCGGATCGCCCCGGCCGGCGCGTGTTGCGACCTGTAACGCTGGTCCTTATATCCATGGAACGCAACGCAGTCATTCCAAAGGACCATTTCTGCAAAGTGAGTTTGCATAATTGTCCTGTGCATTTTTAGGGGGGAGCGACCCCAGCTCTAGATATTCCGTGCAGCAGCTGCCACGCCACAACCGTCTTATGTTGAGTGGACATGAATTCAGCGCAGCGTTTATATGGGTGCAATGTCTATGTATACACGCAAAGATGTACAGATACACTGTATTTATGGTAGCTTGTATGCATACTGTACAAATGATGCATGTGCATTGTGCAAAACTAAGAGCTCCGTGCCTTTGCAAGATGTCGAATAAATCGAGCCCGGACCGGGAGTCATGCATTTGTTATGCAGCATGAAGAAAATCTCATCTCTCGTCTGGTCTCCTTGGCTACTCCGTCGGCTAGCCCCAGCATTTTATTGACACAAGCGACGCAGGGTATACACCATGACGTAGTTTCATCCCACACCGGCACACAGTCGCGGAAGACATCAGCTAAATCCATGAGCAGTCGATCGACCGCGTTGCGTGTTCAGGAGCAACCCGATAGTTTTCCCTACATGCATATCACTTCAGTGAAGACAAGGGATGCGGCGAGAACAGCACTGCCGCGGTGCATAAGGTGGGCATAGTTTGAGCTCCTCCAGCCCAGCGTCGAATTCTAATCAAAGGCAAGCTGCTGAATACCCACCGGGAACTTGTAACAGTTGACGCTTTCTCCCCAATCAACGATGTATTTCGTACTGTCACAATCGACGCAAGAACACCAATAAACAAAACCACCAGGTATTTGAGGTACTGTGCAGCCCACACAGCTGCACAGCTTTGCCTAGTGCTCAAGTCAGTGAAGCCACTGACCATTCCTAGCACATCAAAAACAGTTTGTTGAACAATCAGTGGTAATATCTATGGTATACTCAGTTTTGCAGGCACCAGAGCTGCAGCCCAATTGCTATTGCAGGTTTGTCAGGGCTGGTAGCCTCCTCAAGGTCACTGGAAATCAGCTTGACTCCTGCTTCGGTTCTTCATAATATCGCTTTTTCAGTGTTCTGTATTTTCTCAGCATGTAGAGAGCCTCCAGCTCCTTAGAGACATACTCAGCCTTGCAAAGTAGCTGCTCAATGTGTGCTGGATCAGTCACATCCTTGTTCTTCATAAATGATGATTTCAGTCGATCTCGAAAGAAGTCATAGCCCTTGGGGTAGTTTTTGCCCAGGTGTAGAAGCTATGGATCACAAGAAACCACATTTAGATAGAGTAAACACATTGCTATGGGTATTGCTAGTTTTAGTTTGTCATCTTAAGCATGCAACAAGTTCCCTTTAATTTAAAATTTAAACAAGTTCCTAAAGTTTCTCCTCTCATTCCCTACACTGTACCTCCAGTACCAGATGTTTATAAAATTTTCAGCTTCGACCTCGTACAATTTAATAGCAAACATTGTTTATGTAACTGCACCAAGAGAATTAGTGCACATCTAGGCATCCAAATGCAGAATGTGCTCATAGATTGGGCCCCAGCCCAAAGAACAAGATGTCAAGATCAACTGACCTCAGATGATTAATAGTTACTGACAGCCGCTGTCTTAGAGAAACAGCTAGAAAAGTTGTCTGTAGGTTGTTACATGGGGTTGTTACAATGGGGGGCAAGAAGGGGTTCTCATTGAGCATAACCAAAGTGTAATACAGGTGGGAGAGAGGCTTGACAGCATGTTACACTTAGGCATGGTTGTAAAACATGCAAAATGCTTTGCAGAATATTAAAACCCTAAAGACAGATAACAGAGCCTTTTCTAATAACAAGCAGCAAAACCTTTTTTCCTATCACACCTCAAGCTCAATTTGGAGTAGAAAGAAACATTAGCTTTTGGGACAAATTTTCCAGGCCAAGATCGAGCTGGGGTAGGTTTTCTTCAGAAAAGCAGTGTGGAACAAGCAGGCAGAGTGTTGAGAATTGTCTAAGCTGTGTTAAACAACTTGTGGAAGGAGCAGGAAGCACAAAGCAGGGTGCTCAATGCTAGTATGTAGCACACAAAACATAAAGGTGCCAACAGCCACACCCTCATCACACTTTGTATGCCAAATGAAAGCATTTGCATATGGAATTCAAGTGGGTGCAGCTTCCCCATTCGGTATCCACATAAGTACTTCGGAAGGTATATAACTTACATTTTTATAGGCTTGGATAACTTTTACTCTGGAGCCCAGAGACATCTTGTCACCTAGGCGATATACAACGAATATTACGGATGTGTTATAACATCTAATACGATGGCAATCAGATGTTAGGACCAATCTGAAATAGGAATACAGGTTTGCACCCCCTTCACAGTTACATAAAACGAAATACCAGATACGTTCAGAAACAGGATAGCCCTCGGGGCACAGAATGCGCCACATTATGAAACTTTAGCGCCAGAAACACAACGATTGGATGAAAACCTCAACGCACGAACCTAGAATTGCCTTCCGTTGCAATATGGATATATACATATATATATATATATATATATATATATATATATATATATATATATAACATGATATGTAAAAGCAGGGTCCAGAAGAAAGAGCATGCGGCCATGAAAGAGCATCCTTAAGCCGAAAGGGGACCAAAATCCTTATTTCGGATCGACATGACGTTGACTTTCAAGAGAAACCATCTTTCAGACCACCACAAATAGCTCACATGCTCATTTCCAGAGGTATCGATGTCCAGGGGCGCCTTACGGGCCCTAAATAATCATTCTCAAGAATATGGTATCCCCGGAACACGGCCACGTTTTGTTTGACTCCCGGACCAAATCCTGGATTGGTCCCTTGGGCGAGGGCGCTACCAAAACCTCCACTTTCGGGCCACCGTAGCCTGAATTTTCAACAGACGCTATACCTAAGACCCGTGATAGAGGGCACTTATAAGATCCCAGATCCAACAGCCCCGTAGAAAGTAACAGGGCGCTGTAAGACGCCATCTGGACCGATATTTCAAGTCACGGCAGTGCGGGTGGGGCGCCAGTCTCGGCTTCAATCGGGTCCTTAATTTTTGGTTCCGAGTGGCCCTTTGAGTCCCTCTTGCACTCCCTCAAACACGACTTAGGGTGACTCGCGGTCACTTACCGGCACAGAGTGTTCCTGATAGGCGCTGTGAGCCCCTGGCCGACACCCTCATTTTTTTTAGGGACCGCGACGAATGCAAATCGCGGGGCAGACTTTGCTCATGCTTGGAAAAGGACTCCCCGAGCTCAAACCGACACGGAGTTGCCTGTTTGGTGTTGGTGATTTTTCACCGAAAGAGACGCCCACTCTGTCCAACAGGTCCTCAGTTCCTGCAAGAGGCCCTTTGACTTGCGTTTAGATCACGGCCCTTAATGTGACCTACAGCCAGTCCTTCGAGCCCTTCGGACCCTTCAGCCTTTCGATCCGGCTCTTGCTTCTTTGGCTCCGAGGAACCCTTTGGTCTCTCTTCGGGCTTCCTCAAGCAAAGCCCGTTGCCGAATCGGGGCCACCGATCCATGACTGCCGATCCTGCCGATCCATGACTCCCCATTGGGCACTGTGGGTCCCTAGCCGACACAAGGGCACCGATCATTGTTTCAGCGACCCAAGAGGTTCCGTTTCAGTTATTCATTCCCTCTTTTGAAGCCCGCAACATTCTTATTCCTGGCCATGCAGGAGCTGCGTATACCAACCCCGCCCAGCAGCTTGCCCAAGGAGCGCCCCTGAGCAGGGTAACCAGAGCAGCAACGGACAGTTGCCCATCCCCATTTGCCAAGAGGACAAAGATATCGCTCCTCAATTGATGGTCTTGTCATGACCATGTCCGCCAGTTCGGCCACAGCTGGATGCAGTTTCAGCGCGCGACAGGGGCTGAAGGCTTTTCCGTTTAAGGGTGACGCAGAGGAGGATCAAGGCAGCAGTAGTGTGTCGCGTGCGTCGCCTTCGCCTGGATCGAACGGGTCCAGCTCATACCGCAGGCGCTTTTGCCAGTCTTAACGCACCACGTCAGAGCACCTTTGGCGGCACTTAGGATCGCACCATGAACGGTGTTGCATACCTGGAGGGAGCATGTGAGCCGCGTGATCCTCAAGCGTGTTGTTGAGATGCGTTTATTGCCACCATAATGAATAGCAGTCTTTATTCTGTTATTAATTTTCATAAGCAAACTAAAAACTTTTGGAATCGTGTGTCCAAGCCATATCGTGCGGTTGGGTAAAAGTACATGAAGATCGCCCCGCGAAGCTTTAGGCACCCTATTAAATAACGATTTTACCCCGATTTATTACGAGGCCGCTTGGTCCAGGTGGTAACGCGCTTAATTACGCGCGCTGTGCTGAGAGGAAGCTGCAAAAACTGCGATAGTCTGTTTTCTGAGGACATGGAACAATTCCCCATGTTCGTATGCAAGGTGGAAGGTTAGTTCAGCGTGTTCCTCTCCAATGTGGAAAGACGTCCGTTAACGAACGTTCTTCCACATTGGGAAGGAAGGGGCTGCCAGCCGTTTGGATTATGTCTTTCCAGCCAGCACCCACAGGACCAATGCTAAATTTTCAAAAAGTTATGGGCCTCAGCTCCAGCCCCCCCCCCCCCCCCGGTCCCCGCGCCTCCATACCTTCCGGTGGTGTGACGCAAGGCACATAACTTTGCGTATCAATGATCATTTACAACACCAGCCATTCCACGCATGATTTCAAACTCATTTTTCATCCAAGTCCTGATGTGCTGGTTTTACTACCTCGTTCCCCTACCAAACATTGGTGGTGCCGCCCCTGCGCTAGGGGTGTGTAAAGAAACCACATGTGAGCTGCTCAACGAAATCATGCCAAGTCGTGATCATTTGGGTACTTGTTCCACACACTTTCGGTAAGATGTTTGCATAAATTTGTTCACTTTGTGCAACCTAGTTTACTGGTGTGTCAGATCCGGCAGGGACTTTTTTCTGTCTTGTAGGGCGCATGCTAGACAAGCAAAAGTTAATTTTTTCGTAACTGTGCTGTGTTTGTTAGTGACTCACATGTTTTGCAAGTTTGAAATATGAAGTGTTAAGAACCATCCATGAATTGGCCATTTTCCACCCTCTCCCTCCCCCTTGGGAGGGGAGGGTGGCTACGCACTGGTTAAGTTGGGCAACCCCCCCCCCCCCCCTGGCTACGCTGCTTTAAACAAGCCATCTGAAAAAAACAGGTCCGTTTAACGCATTCTTTTGCTGGGAGAAAGCCCACACAGTGTCCGGCTCCAAGATTGCAATTCGTGTTTGAAGATATCATCATGATTTGCAGTCACACCTAAGTAGAATATTATGTGGTACAAACTCTCCTCTTCCTCCCTCGTTACCGTTCCGTTACGTTTCATTTCCCTTCCGCAATGGCTTGCGTATTTTATTGACAGCTCCTTAGCAAAAAATGCATAATTTTGCTGGACGACATATATAAAGTGCAAAAAACTTCCGAGTCTGGCCCACAGACCGGCCAAAAGCGGGTAGGCCTTTCGGTGTCATAGGGGGGAGGAGGGTATTGGCAGGTTAAAAAGCTGCGTCTCCGTCCTAAGCCCTGCTCACGGCAGATATGTTTTGAAAAGGAGTTTAGTTCTGCTTGTTTGTTTGCTTTTTGTTTGTTTGCTATTTCTTTACACAAATACAATCTTAGAGGCTGTATACTCCCGTTCCCAAAAGGTGCGCTATGATGAATTGTAAAAACAACATTTTTTATCCGGTACTATGCATCTAAAAACAGTCATCAAAGATGACCACCTAACTATGATAGGGGGCCGATTTAAAGAAAGATGGCGTGGGACACATCGTTTATTCAGTAACTGCTCTCTCAGCCTGGATCGATGGGCTAAAATCAAGGGCTTAAATTTCCGTGATCATGTAACACCACTTGGACGATGGGGCGCAGTTTGATGTTGCAAGGCAAACGGAGACGGCGGGGTCACAGCTTGCAGCGCCACCTGTCTAGTTGAGAGATGCAGCGCCACCTTGC